AGAGTGGCGCACGTCTAGAAATATGTTTTGCATCTGGAAAACGCAAGAAGCGGTTGAATGTGCAAACTGACACATCGCAGAATAGTTCTAGCAAAAACGCCGATCGGTTCAATTAGTTAAGCAGAGGTGTCACCACTGGTGGACAAATCACTGAGATTCCTGCACGCATCTGTAAAGCATGCGTTGCCCCTCAAAATTTCATATTAACACACAGATGCTGAAACATAAGGAGGAAGCAACGACATCGACAGAAATGCGTCAATTTTTGCATTGGTTATTAGGGGAAACGGCCTTTAGTAAGCAGAAATAAAAGAAGGAACTTGATGTAAAGCCTAGATACCCTAAGCACATATTCAGTATCAAGGTGGATACCTTTCGCAAATATCGTACGTGTAAAAATGACATAAAGGAGGCGGCGCCTTTGTGATCCTAGCTGTCACGCGTCATAAGTAATCCGATCCCACGAGTCGAGTGTGGTGCGGCCAGCGCTGCAGTACAAATTGGGGAGGGAGGAAGGGACGTAACCGCTGTGTGTAAAATGGCACGATCATCATGTATCACTAGTTGATTTGAACTATACCTTGTGCACTATGGTTCTGGAGTCAAGCCGAATGAGCCCTACAAGTTTCTGATATTACGGTAATGTCTGGAGCTGTATATGATTCCAACCGCACCAATCTCCCACCGTTGTTGACAGTGGCAAACTTCCTTTTGCTTTTGACATTAACGAGAAAATTGGCATTCGCTATACTTGAAACTTTGTCGTAAGCTTGATCTCGAGCATCATGATCTAGCCAGAACAGTGGCTTGGAACTGCAAGGAATATCCGTGTCCGTATATACCATGCTTTTGACAAGTGCGCTTGTTGAAAGGGCCCTATTAAGTAAAATGCCAACTTTCGTATTGCCAACAGACTGATAGTGGCCTGAGTTGCGTAAGGTTTATGCAACCAGCGATTGGAGTCTTACTCCCGCAAGTTTGCTGAACTGTGATACCACTGGGATGAGTCCTTGAATCCTCCGCCAAAGCTGTATCTGGTTTTACAGTGACGACTTCCTGTGCTTCTGTAATGACACTTTGGAGTGTGATCTCTGCGCCTCTCTCCAACGTCCCAAGTATTCTGGTTCGGAATTCAGCATACTTGGTGGAGCATACACTGTGTACCAGTATTAGGCATACCGTAAGCGCGTTCAGTTTTAATTTCTGGTACTCTCGCTTCTTGGTTGATACATGAACAATGAGACTGTCACTGTCCATCATTTGCAGTCTCAAGCAGTTGCATCGATGATTGAAAAATGATTGGTCGCAAGAGGAGCAATCAGTAAAATGAAGCCGAAGTATCTGTCGTGCTCAGTGGCCCCAAGTTTAGGTAGCAGCATGCGAAGTTTTGATGTTATTGAAAATCGACTGAATGAATCTTCATAGCGCCTGAACCATGCGGCAAATATCAAACCTGTCGGAAGCAGAAATAAATTCATTAACGCTGTTGAAGATCGTGTAAACTGTAGGTCTTGACAGTGAGTTGGACGGGCAAACATCGAGCGAGAGTCACAATCAATTTCACTTGGGAGGCCTTTGACTTATTGCTCTTGTTAGTACAAAGTGATTTTCAGGTATGCAAACGGGAATGTGATCACGGTTAAGAGTGCCTCATTAACCAAATCCTACAGTTCTGTATGTTGAACTGGATGTAGTTGTGCCTGAGCACCCAGAAGAACAAACGACATCGAATTAGGAAGTGTACTGGACACAAGACCGGACAGCATCACCACCACCACCACTGCCGATAAGAATAAAAGCAGTTTAGGTTACATAAGAGAGGGTCCAAAATGTCGAAAGTTATGTGGAATAGGCGACAGGAACAGTGTTTGTCTCAACACGGCCGGCGACCATGTGGTCTGCGCGCCTGGTTGCAGCCATAAGGTCATAAGTTCGAATCCGCGTAATGGCGGGCGTCCTCGCGGTATACTCGGCCCACGCGCGACTGGTGGTGGTCGCGCGGCAGCTAAGCGCCGTTATGGCGTACAGCTGGCGATTTTTTTATTTTTATTTCATTTACTAAAGAAGTATGGGGAGGCGGAGCATGCCAGTTCGATAAACGCATATGGTCCCCTCTCGAAAATTGCGCACTTGTTATAAAAAACACCTTTGTCCCGCTTTTTGTGCAGTTGCCCAGTTCCGCTACATGCAATGGCACAGCCTGGCTTGGGTCATCGGACCTGCTTCATCCGGCGCGTTAGCTTGGCCCTGATATCGATAAGACTACCGAATGAGGGATGCTGATGTCCAACAATTTATGCTCGATAGCAAACGCTTGGGTGCGGTAGTAAATCACCTGAATCAATTGCATTGTTTCGGTGATGTCTTTAAAGTGTCTATCAAGTGTAGTGTGGCACGGAAACTATCGTGGCGCGCTGCTTGACTTTGAACTGGTGTTTACGCTGCGCTTTCATTTGCCTTGCAGGAACCTGGTCGTGTGCTTTAACGGAAGAAGTGCAAGCAGAAGAAGATTGACTGTAACGTTTATCTTCCTTTTTTATAACATTATTTCCTCTATTGTAGTTTGCTAAGTGTTGCTTAATAAATCTCCAGTTCCAATCTCCGGAGTTCTCCCAAGCTTGTATACTACACAAGCACCTACCTCGGCATGCGGAGTTTTTGGACTTGCGCACGAATTGGTAAAGCCTCAGTGGCCAATCACTGTTAACAGGCGTTGTTTTGATGACGCGGGTCATGGCAACAAGACCCATCGCAGTCTGAGGATGGAATCACAACTGGGTAACTAAAAGAAACGGAAGTACAAGCAGAATAGTTACGTAAATGACGAGGTGGTCGATCCATACTCACAAGTAGGTGTACCGATACAGACAGTGGGACTACCAAAGCTCAAATTAGCTAGGTCAGAACGGGTTTTACAGCGCCAGCGGTTTTAAACATGCATAACGAAGAACGAACATCGGGCCGCCTAGCCTTCTCACTGACGGCATGCTCCCAGGAAGCATCAGTCGCATGCATCGAGGCCGTGGGATGAGCAGTGACCAGATTCGATACATTTTGGTGGCAAAGACAGATGATTCACCGGACCAACCGAAAATCTTGCTCCACCTACAGTCCATCGATGGATACACATCAAAGGCATTAGCAGTACGCCGCCACGCAGTACCGACGCTTCGCTGCAGCACAATCACCACCGGTCGCACGTGGGATAAGCATACTGCGAGGGTCGCCCTGCCCCTACTCAGGCTCGAACCCGCGCTGCAAGATAACAAGACGAGCTAGTTACCTATAGACAACGGACCGGAAAAGGTGGAGAACAGAACGATTGAAAGACGGCTTTTTTACACATTAAAAGCCGTCTTTCAATCCATATATTCGCCGCCTTCTCCGATAGCGATGGCGATTTGACACAATTTGTACACCGTTTTAGTACAAAACTCGGATGAACACTAAAACACCAGAAAATATCGTCCAACAGGTAACTGCACCAAATTATGGTGCCAGAGCCAATGCCTGACGAAGTAGTCTGTAAAGAACGCCTCTTTCCAAATGTAGGTGAATCGGAAGAGATAACTGTGATGTGTGCAAATGCGGAGAAATAGTGGGAACTAAAGTAGAAAGGAAACGGTGGGTGCGTATGGAAAGTCGATCCTACGGACATCATCATCATCATCATACACGTTAGCTAGAGGTGGGGAACATCTCAGCTACTGTGCCACAATACACAGAAAAAAGGAGAAAAATGCAACTGGTGCACGCCGGCTGAGCTACCGGTAACGGATGGGCATCATTCCGGTAAGCTACCAGTCGGCTACTGTGCAACAAAAAAATACTGTGCAAAATCATATAAGGCTAAATAATGAGATCGTGGTTGGAGGGGAGGCTAAGACGGATGGGGTACGACAAAGAAACTCAAAGCACGAACGCCACTGAGGTCGGCTCCTAGCCATATCAGCAAGTGTGTCCAACCAAACGTGTTCATCGTCTTTCGGACCCCAACCAGGGAGTCGAGACACTCCAATCGAGGCCAGCTTTGAAATGAGGGCCCTCATTCCTCTGGACCAAGTCATCGCTTGGCCACCCCACCTCTTCTTCCATCCACACCACCGGCGCGCAAACAACGCACGACGCGGGAGTCGGTGGGCTGGCATGGGTAACACGTGGACGAGCCATCGGAGCCTGGTGCGTGAAATGACGGTGCTGAGCGGTTCATTTCCTTTTCCTGTGCCGTAAACAAGGCGTCGAACATGCTCGTTGCTCACGCGGTGTTCCCACCAGATGTGAGCTAAATTACGAAGGCACCGGTGGTCGAACGTAACTAGCCTCTTCAGGTCCGCTACTTTAAGCGGCCAGGTTTCGCAACCGTACAGTAGGGTCGAACGTACCGCACCACTAAGGACAAGTTCGCGCTATAATCAGAGGTGGAGCTGCATTTCCAAAGGCGATGACTTCTGTGTTCTGCGTGCATTAAAATCGAAACCGAAAGTTAGTAGAAAATACTAAGGCAGCTCTATCATGAGAAGCCGCAAAAAGTAACTACTTACACAGTTTAGGCAGGATAACCCTTTTTCAACGTTTCGAGATGTGAAATGGAATGTCGAGAAAGCTGGTTTCTTGAGAAACAACAGGGTTGGTGACGAAGACAGTGGCAATAGAAGTCAGGGTAGAGTGCTTAAATCCCATTCTAGAGATACAATATCCTACTGCGTTTGTTTGGTTTCTGCTCCAAAGCCTTTAAAATGAAGTAAGTAAGAAAACACTCTACGGTGTCAGAGAGACAGAGACAGCGGTCGATGAAAGTCAACAAACCGAAAGTCTGAGTACATCTGACGCGATAAATGTGTAAGTGGAAGACAGCATTTTATTTCTTTTTGCGTACATAGATAAATTCTCGGCACCCAGGAACGTGTAGAACATTGACAGATAACCAATAAAAACAAACAAGAACTGTGAAGCAACGGCTGGCAGAATACGTAAGAATAAAGATAATGACGCGAACTTACCGCACCAGAGAGTCGAGTATGAGCTGCGTTGGCCTGCTGCGTTCGACCAACTTTGAAAAGCCATTTGGGTGATTCAACGATAGATGGAATTAAAGCCAGCAAAAGAAGCGAAATCAGTGCGTCCACAAGAGCAGCGTCCTCCCACCGTAACCAAGCTCCAAATATGTATGCAATCATAATGCCAGAGACGATCCCTATTTGAGTGAGCGTGCAGAACAACGCGTGGGATTCGCGTGGGGCGATTTCTATCAAATAAGTAGCTGAAGATGGGATCGCAATGCCAGCAGAAACACCCGTTAGAATTCGTCCAAAAATGAACAAAATTGTGGGAGAATAAGCCTCGTATACGCTTTTGGAAGAAACGCGAAGAGACATCCACCCTATAACACTAGTTAGACATGCAAAACACATGGTCCAACGGCGCCCACATTTTGAAAGTAAGTAACCAGAGAGAAGGCTCCCGACGAGGCCACCGACGTTCAAAGAACTGGCGAAAACCGAAGACCATCCCAAGCTGAAGAACACTTGAAACGCGGCAGCCGAAGAATAGCCCAAGGACAACCCTACGAAAGAAAAGTTGGTGAAATTAAATACGTCTATGAAGAATAAGGTCGCAACACCCCGACCATGTTCTTAGCCGTGAAAAAACTTCATTCGGTACGTACACAGTAAGGGCAGAGCAAAAAGGATAAATGCAACCAACGTCATTATACGGAGGTCTAGAGATTCACACACAGCGCTAATCAGTGAAACCCTGAAAACGACAGCGACATTAGATGAGAGCATAAAACAGGCTAGTAAAACTCAAACGCACCATTTTATTGTGGACGGATTACGTGCAAGTGCTACTTTTGTGCGGTGTGGTGTTAGATGGGATTTCAGAAGTATGAAACAAAGGGACCAGGTTCTCGGCAAAGCGAACAGACACGGTCAGTGATGACAAAGCACGCGAGTGCGTTGGGTGAGAACAGTTTCCACTAGTCAAGGAGGAAGTTAAAGGACGGAACAGGAGTGAGCAAAAATGTGAGAAGTTATCCTCGATCTGCACACTAACGGTCAAAGGCACGTGAATTGAGAAAGAATAGCCAACAAGGACATTTGAAGACACCCACTTCTACTGCGTAGACAAGATAACATCTAACGTAGAGTTAAGTACAAGGCGGCAACACAACTATGATCTGGGCATCGAAACGCGGTAGACTTAGTTGTTTTAGCTACGATAAGAACGACGGTAAAACAAAGAAAAAAGCGAAAAGTCAACTGAGCAAAATTGACAGAACAGTTAAACCGGTTGATAAAACGACCAACACCAGAAAGAAAGGGGGAGAATTCAGAAGCGCCACTGGAATCCAGACGGCGTCATGTCTAAGAGAATATCCCGTAAGTGTGTCCGGTCTCCAAAAAGAAGGCGCGCATCAGCGCGATGCTGGAAACCGTCGGTTGCGTCCAAAGTCTGCAAATATGACGTATGACAAATTCAATTTAGTACAATTGAACAACCAGGATCCGAGCACGGTAGTGCAGTGGATCCAGTTGCCACGACTCACATCGCAAGAATAACAATAAATAACGCCGGAGGGACAGTGGGGTTGCGTGCAAAGATAGTGAGAGCTACTCCTAACAGGCTGGTCAATGGTTAGAGGTCAGACAAACTCAGTCTCCTAGTCCTCTAGGTTAAGAGGTTGAAATGGGATGGCGTCCATTTCTATAAAACTAAATCATTGCCACCTTCCCGCTGACTTGCGGACAGGCATTTGAGCCAAAGGCTTTAGTTAAGGACCCTAATTGTCCTCCTGTCTAGGTCTGGGCGCTTTGGTATTATCTCAGCCCACATACAACCATTACTCTTTCTTCAAACACAAAACTTCATCCTGCATCAGCCGTCGCGCATACTATCAACGGTCGCCTTATCTGTTGCATACAGCAGGGCGGATAAGCGAAAACATACTTCTGCTGGCGTCACCCTTCTTTGTTTCTACTGTTTCTTCCACTAACATCCCGACCCAAATTACTAACATTTCTTCTATAATTCCCAGCTTAATTCATCATCATCATCATACACGTTAGCTAGAGGTGGGGAACACCTCAGCTACTGTGCCACAATACACAGAAAAAAGGAGAAAAATGCAACTGGTGCACGCCGGCTGAGCTACCGGTAACGGATGGGCATCATTCCGGTAAGCTACCAGTCGGCTACTGTGCAACAAAAAAATACTGTGCAAAATCATATAAGGCTAAATAATGAGATCGCGGTTGGAGGGGGAGGCTAAGACGGATGGGGTGGGACAAAGAAACTCACAGCACGAACGCCACTGAGGTCGGCTCCTAGCCATATCAGCAAGTGTGTCCAACCAAACGTGTTCATCGTCTTTCGGACCCCAACCAGGGAGCCGAGACGCTCCAGCCGAGGCCAGCTCAGAAGTGAGGGCCTTCATTCCTCTCGAGCAAGTCATCGCTTGACCACCCCTCTTCTTCCATCCACACCACCGGCGCGCAAACAACGCACGTCGCGGGAGTCGGTGGGCTGGCATGGGTAACACGTGGCCGAGCCATCGGAGCATGGTGCGTGAAATGACATCCCAGCTTAATTGACAGCAACCGAAGTGCCACTGGAGTAGAACTATCTGTGGCCACCTTCTCGCGACACTCACCGGACGCCTATGGGCAACAGTCCCTTGTAAGGGCATGCTGTCCCGTTTCCATGGCGACGTTCAACGTTCACACTCTAGGACAAATAGGTTAACAGGCTGCACTCGCACAAAACCTGGACACACTGAGCATCGATGTGCGTTGTGTGTCCGAAACTAGGATCAGTGACCCTAATGGGGTTGTTGAATTAACTGCACCTGGCTTGTCCTCTCCCTATGGGTTGCACACAACCGGAGACACCGGAGAGCACTCACGGGTCAAGCAGGGGTAGGCATCATTCTAAACTCCAAGGCTGAGCCATCGTTGGTTGACTGGATTCCGGTGAATAGCCGCTTATGTGCAGCAAGTTAGACGAGATCGACCAAATTTGATTCATGGTCAAGTACAAAACGCTTTTGTTTGCGATTTCCGCATAGGCTCCCACCGACTGCAGTGCTAATGATATCAAGGACACATTCTATCACAAATTGAATGCGCTACTACGCAGTGCTATCAGTTCAGATATTATAGTACTTGCAGGGGATATGAACGCACAAGCAGGGCATCCGAGCTCTACCGAAGCTCAGCTGGCTGGTAATTATGCGCTTTGCTCCGAACGGACTGACAATGGCGATCATCTGCTGCAACTGTGTGCGGAGCACCAGATATTCCAGTAGCACTGCTTTTAGACAGTTGGCGCTGAAGTGCCACTTGGCGTCCTCTTGTAGCTGGCCAGCAATGGACCCAAAGTGACCACATTGCCACAAGTTACAGGTGGCGTGGTTTCATCCTGGATTGCCGTTCGTACTGGAATACCTTGTCGACTATAATCATGTCTTGGTAAGCTGTCGTTTCTCCATGAACTTTACCGGGAGGCGCACCAAGTGTCTCCTCCGATTGGCAATTGAGAAATTGTCTCAGCCCTCGGTCAGACAAACCTACTAAGACGCACTGCGTGCCGGACATTCGCTGTCTTGTTCTAAAGACACTGAGCTTCAGTGGAATGGGATCTCGGCCGCCATGCACGACGCAAGAGCATCTGCTTGTGGCACTATCAATCGTCACCGCACCAGTCACTGGATATCCAAGAGCTCGGTGAACCTGCCGGAATCTAGAAGAAACCTCCTGGCTGGTTCTGAACACAGTGTGATCAGTCGGGCTATTAGGCGCGAAGTAAAGCGGAGGCTACGTGCTGACAAGGAAGCCTGGTGGACCAGTCAGGCTCAACAAATGGAGGAGGCAAGAGTAGTAGGCAATTACTGCAAGCTCTTTCAGCTGATCAGCACCACTGGTCTCAGGAAACAAACCGTTAGTGAGACAAGCAGAGACAGCGCAGGTGCACGGATACACAAGAAGGAGGGCCGTATAGCTCGATGAGCAGAACACTTTTAAGATCAGTTCGGCTGGCACCATGTTTCCCGACCTCTTCCTACTCAGGGAATGCAGGACGAGCCATGGACGGTTAGTTTAGAGCCTCCGTCGAGGTCCGTAACGCGATCACAGCCCTCAATCGTTTCCGTGCCGCTGGCCCGGATCCCCTCCCACCTGCACTATTTAAGGATGGAGGTGAGGTCCTCTACAAAGCACTGACCTCCCTATCCGAACGTATCTGGAAGGAAGAGTCTCGGCTAATTGGAGCAAACTGATTATAATAGCAATATACAAGAAGAACAGTTGCACAGACTGTTCTAACCACAGGGGTATTAGCCTAACGCCAGTTGTGACAAAAGTACCGACCTCGATACTCGTTCGTCGCCTCACTGTGGAACGGGAATCTCGGATTAGAGAAGAGCAGACAGATTTCCGTCAAGGAGGTGGCTGAGTAGACCATATATTCCCTCTGCGGCAGGTAGCAAAGCAGTGCCACGTATATCGCAGACTGACAACAGTTGTGTTCCTTGATTTCAAGAGTACGTTCGATGCATTCTGTTCGAAATACTTGCGCAGAAAGGTGCTCAAACGAAATATGTGAACATCCTACTAGCTCTAAACTCTACATGCCGCATCAGAGTGTACGGTGACCAGTCCGATAGCTTTCCAACCACAAGTGGTGTTTGTCAGGGTTGTCCGATTTCCACATTTTTGTTCAATTTCGTCGCGGACTCCATCATGGAGTGTTCCCTTGCGGAATATCACGATGTAGTCATTGAAGTGCTGCCTGGTGAAAGATTAGTTGATCCTGATTATGCGAATGATATCATCTAGTTTTTTCGACGATGTTGCGGCGGCACAATCAACCCTAAATAGCCTGTCTTGTGTGGTCCCATTAATTGGTATGCGCTTCGCACCTTCAAAGTGCAAAGTGTTGCTGCAGGACCACCAGCCACTTGATGACCCGTTGAACCTTGCTAACGAGGAACTCGAGGTGGTTGATCAATTCACTTATCTTGGCAACTGAATCAGTAACAATCGGCGCATAGGAACTGACGTCAGATCACGGAGTGCAAAGGCCAGAGCTGCCTTCTTGAACCTGCAGCATTTTTTGCGACAGAAGGGAGTTTCCCTCCGTCTGAAAGGCCGTGTATACAAGGCCACATTGAGGGCCGTTCTGCTCTATGGGAGTGAGACTTGGCCCCTTCGGTCTGAAGATCTGAGGTGCCTTCACGTCTTTGGTCATTGTTGTCTGCGAAGCACTGCTGGTGTCGGATGGCATCAGCGTGTCCGCAACGATGATGTGCGTATGCGAGTACTAGACAGTGATAATCATGCTAGCTCCCTAGAACAACAGATAGCACTGAATAAGTTGCGTTGGTTTGGACATGTTACATATACCTGGTCACTGTTTACCTAGGATGGACTTGTTTAGTCTGCCAGGTGTAGGGCAGCGCAAGACTCCAGATGAACAGAAGTTCACTTGACAGCAGAAAATGAGGTCTCTGACTAAAACACTGGGTGCCGTTGGTCTGCCTTGCGTTCCGGGCTGCGGTCCAAATGA